TGCCTCCTCTGAGTCTCGGTATGCTGTTCTCTTTCCTTCTAGTTGAAGAATTTCCCCTCAGCCAGCCTTCCTGTGGTTCTGGGTGATGTCTGTTCTGTCTTTTAGTTGTATTTTTGAAGTGGTTGTGCGAGGCAGCAAACTCCGGTGTTTACCTATGCCGCCATCTTGGTTTCTCGAGAGAGAAAATATTGATTGGGAAATTGGAAGTGTGGAATCGAAGCTCAGCAAGCCATTAGCTCTTAGTCAAAAACTGAAGAGGTAGAAATGAATGAATTCCCTAAGTTATAGATAGTAAGGAAGAGTGGATGATAATGACAGAATTTTAGGGAATGCCTCATGTACACAGTGCAAGGAAAATATGAAGCAAATAGTTGAGCAAAGAGTGACCAGAAGGGCGGGGGAATGGGGTAATGTAGTGTTACAGAAGGCTAGCAAAGGTTTTTGGAAGAGGTCACCCAGCAGAGGGAAGTCAAATACTGTAGAGAAATAAAAGCACACTGCAGAGGTGTTTGGAAGGACAGTAATGAGATCCTGGGCAACCTTGAAACTTGGGGGCAGGGGTGCATTAGGTTTTAGAGACAGAATGCTTATGTCCTGGGAAGTGGGGACTAATATTTTCATTTGTACAAGAGGATGGTACACAATCCCATATTAACCCTTAAACGTCCTCTCTTGTCCTCCCTACAGCCCTGAAGCCAGTGGATCTACACGTCACGTATCAGACAGGACCTCTGATGGCCGTAGAGACCACTCGGAACATAGTGTTGCACTGGCGGGCCCACGGCTGGCCCCTGCGCTCCCTCCGCACATCAGTGGCCTCCCTGCACTCTGTGGTCCGGGAGCTGGGAGGCCTGGCGGGGGGCCCCCACACTGTGGTGGTGCTGGGGCTGGGCGCACACTTCACCACCTTCCCTCCATCCGTCTTTGCGCAGCGACTGGCAGGGATCCGGGCAGCTGTGGCTGCGCTGCTGGCCCGGGAGCCCCACACTCTTGTGGTCATCAAACTGGCCAACACTGGCTACAAGTCCGTGTATGGCAGTGACTGGTTCACCCTCCAGGTGAACCGGCTCCTCCGAGCTGCCTTTGCTGACCTCCGTGTGGCCTTTGTGGATGCCTGGGAAATGACCTCCAGCCTGGCCCTGCCTGACAGCATCCACCCAGTGCGGCTCATTGTCCAAAACGAGGTGGACTCCCTCCTCTCCTTCATCTGCCCCACCTGAGCGCTGCTGTGGATTCTGGGGCTTTGTGAATGGAAGCCATAGGAATTGTGAAGAGGATCAGAGTGACAAAGGGACTCCGACCTAACAATGATCCAGAGAAGAGTGGCTACCCCAATGTTTAATTACTGTTAGCCCTAGGAGACAATCCTTGTGTACATTAATGAAAGATTTTACATAAATGAAATATTTTACATACCTTCTTTTAAGTTCACTTCGGGGGACATTTTTACTGGTGTGATTGCAGATTACGCAGTTGTAAGTAATAATACAGAAATCTCTCATGCACTTTACTCAGTTTCTCCCAATGGTAACATCTTACAACACTATATAGTGCAGCACGGTATCCTGCCCAGGATATTAACATTGACACAATCCCCAATCTCACAGACATGTCCCTAGTTTTACGGTACTCATTTGTATGTTTTTAGTTTTATGAAAGTTTGTCATTTGTGTGGGTTTGTGTCTAATTCATTAGCATCTGTTTTGTAGCCTTACAAAGGAGATAAGACACTGTCATGGGTTTATACGAAGTGGCAAATCTAACAGGAGAGCCCTGGATAAACTAGAGTCTCAATGGACTCTACCCTCAGGCTAAAGAGAATACAAAAATAGGATCTTACACCCTTTCACTTCTCAATCCAGTTTTCCTTTAATCAACCAAAGGTAAACTATTCTCACCAAGGTAAGTAAGAACCTCTTGGAGGTAAATCCCATGAACAATTTTCAATTCTTACCTTTTGATTTTTCCCCCCTGCATCATGGACCACTCATTTCTTGCTGAAACCATCTCTTCTCTTGGCTTCATAATATCAGATCCTTCGATTCAGACGTGAGTAACTTGAAAAATGAGGTCCACCAGAATCCATTTTGCTGGTGAGGGTGGTCACAGAGGCACCTAGTTTTATTTTTTTTTAAAATATATTTTTATTCATTTCAGAGAGGAAGGGAGTGGGAAAGAGAGATGGAAACATCAATGATAAGAGAGAATCATTGAACGGTTGCCTCCTGCACGCCCCGTACTGGGGATCAAGCCCAAAACCTGGGCATATGCCCTTGACAGGAATCAAACCTGGGACCCTTCAGTCCGCAGGCCAACGCTCTATCCACTGAGCAAAACCGGCTAGGACAGCACCTAATTTTCACTAGTGGTGGTGGTTGCAAGAGCAGGCTCCTGGCATAGAAAGGGCATCCTTGGTACAGTGTAAACCACAGCAGGAATTTCTCCTGCTGCTCAGTTGGACATCAGTGGTGCTGGTGGCATAAAGTACAGTTCCTGGAAGCTTAGCATTCGGCGGGCCTGCTCCAGTCTCCCAGCAGTATGTGGGCTACTCAAGATCCTTTTATTAATACCCCTTACTCTTTAATCAGCCAGAGTTGGCTTCTTCCTCTTGAAAGAACTTGCATTAATCAGAGTATGTGATTATGTGCCTGATAATTACAGGTTCATATGTTAGATGCTATAATAGAAGTGAGCTATGAGAATGTACAAAACAGACATGTAACTCAGCCTTTGTGGTCTAGGGAAGAATTCCACAAAGATACCTGAGTTGAGTTTGAGAAGAAGATCATGGATTATCTAGGCACTGAGTCTCAGAAGGGCACTCCAGGCTGAGAAACAGTTATGCTCAAAACTACACAATATTTTCAAGTTGGGAATGGGCTGAGGCAAGAGGTCAGATAGCAGAGTTGAACAAGAAGATCCCTGAGGACTTTATATACCATGCTCAAAGTTGTTCCCTGGACTAGTAGCAGGGCTAGAGCCCAGGCCTTTCAATGTATACTCTGGGACAAGGTAGATGCCGGAAGTCACCTGAATACGGTTTTAGGTGAGTACTTATTTTGTATTGGCACCCAGCCTTGCCTGAACACTCAGGGAAGAGTTAGCTGAAAGTGACCATAGCCTGTCATGGAACCTGCTGACCTGAAAAGAAACCAGCATGCCGGATCCTTACCTTGCAATCTCCTGAGCCTCACTCGCTTCCCTTAGCCCTTGCAACTCCGATCCTACTCAGCCGAACTCCCATTCCCCTCAGGGACCTTGTTATCTCAAGTTCTCCCCAAAACAACGCAACTCCCGTCCCTGTGTCTTCTACCGTGTAGTTAACAGGGAGTTAACAAAGTTGTGTCTTTCTTTCCTGGGAAAGAAAACATTTTGTATCCTTTAGCTTTGACCTTGCTGCTAGAAAACTTAAGGCTAAATTTACTGCTCACAGGGTAAGTGGGAAGAGGAAGTTATTATTCTTCGTCTGGGGGTTTGGACCAAACTGTTCTACAGTCATTAAGCTCCTCTTGCCTACAGCCTTATTCCCACATTTCTTCTTTGCTGTTGTGTTCTCTGCCTCTAAGTTTATTCTGCTAAGAAGTGTGGTTCTCTCTTTCTTGCTGCAGCTGCCCTTTTCCCACATTTGACCTTATTCTGGGCACTTGAGTGGCCACATCATCCATGTGTTTGCAGGTGCCATCAGCAGGATGTTATCCTGTGAATTGCTGTGAAGAGAAGAATCAAGACTTTATAGAGGAATGAGAGAAAGAACAGGAAGTGTTGAGAAGTATCCTGCAATGAGGTAAGAGGGCTTAGATTTCAGAAAGAAAATGAGAGCAAGAGAAGAGGACGAAAGGATGGATGCAGGTTTAGGGAATAGGGCATTTAGTATAATTATCAAGCAACCAGTATTGATTAAAGTCACAGTCTGGCCCTAGCCGGCTTGGCTCAGTGGATAAAGTGTCGACCTGCAGACTGAAGGGCCACAGGTTTGATTCCAGTCAAGGGCATATGCCTGGGTTGTGGGCTTGAACCCTAGTAGGGGACGTGCAGGAGGCAGCCCATCAATGATTCTCTCTCATCATTGATATTTCTATCTCTCTCTCCCTCTCTCTTCCTCTCTAAAATCAATAAAAATATCTTTAAAAAAAGAAAGAATACAGTATCCTATCCCTACGTAAAAAACAACAAAACTTTAAAAATAAAATCACAATCTGGGCAAATTACTGTTTTTAATGTGTGAAATACAAATAAGGGCACAAGATATGGGGTCTGGCTTTGAGAAAGAGATGCGTGCAGGGCTTAACAAATAGAATGTTGAGTATGAGACAGCATCTGAGTGGTCAGGAAGGTAGGAGACTCAGGCAGTTATAAAAAAACAAACAATATTGGATAGGACTTCAAGGAGGAGAAAGTGGTCAACAGTTTAAATACGGCTGAGAACTTAAGAAATATAATGAATAAAGAGACCTCAGAGATGACAATTAGCACAAGAAATCTTGAAGGAGAACTGGGAGTAGATTCATGGTTTAGAGGGGATGAAATGAATCTTTTATTCTAAGAATATTTGGAGTATCTCTGGGATAGGATATTGGATGTCCACCTTCCAAAAGCCAGTAACCAGTGTCCAAATGGGCAGATCCAAGAATGAGGGCTAAGGTATCTTGGATCACAGTGCTGTAACAATAGGCCCAACACTGACCCTGTGGTTCTGTAGCCCAATTCATGCTTTTCCTGAATATTCATTTTCATTCATGTACTGGGCCAAAGGAGAGAGGGAGGTGACAGTGGGCAGTGGCAGGGGCCCCAGCCACTATGGTGCCCACTCCCTTTTTGCCTCAATGAACCACTGCCTGATGCAAGGTAATCATCTAGATGGCCCTGAATACATTGTTGGTTGGGGAATCATGTACACTGATTGCCACCCAAATTCCAAAAGTAAGTTCAAGTGTATCTACAGTAGTAACTTATTCACCCATCAGCTGAACAAACTTCCCTGCGGAGGCTTTGCTGGCATCCCTTTGGGATTTGAGTTATGATATAACTCTGCCTGGTGCATCATTTACAATTAGGTTGATTCCTCTTCTTGATCTTCTCTAGCTGAATGTGTCTTCTTAGGTCCCAAAGCTGTGTTGGAGAGTATATGAATCCTGTAACCTAGTCCCAGGAGTGAAAAGGATCGACTGAGTGGTAGGATGTCTGGATTTCTAAGGAAGAGTGGTCTGGATTCCTGGGTTTTCCATCAGCCACAAGAAATAAGTGCTGAAGAGGAAATAAGCTCCCTACTAAATGATAGCGAGGAATAAAAGCGTAGGCAGCAGCTGCTTTATGAAGTCAGAGAGGTGATCACTGTCTCTGCCCTAAGTTAAGTTCTCTTATTGTTATTTGCCTTTGGTTTAAGATGTAGAATAAACATGATGTGGTATTCATGCTGGAAGCAGATGCCTAAGAGTGTAGGATGACTGGATTTATTAGAGCTGTGTTGGTGGCTTTTATTTTTATTATTAAAATATATTTTTTTATTGATTTCAGAGAGGAAGGGAGAGGGAAAGAGAGATAGAAACATCAATGATGAGAGAGAATTCTTGTCCTGCATGCCCCACACTGGAGATCAAGCTCACAGCCCGGGCATGTGACCTGACCAGGAATCAAACTTTGACCTCCTGATTCATAGGTCCACACTGAACTAACGCCAGCCAGGCTGTTGGTGGCTTTTAGATTTTAAGGATGTCTGTACAACATTATAGATACAAGGAGGTAAGGGTGAAATTTCTAGGCTCTTAATAGAGGTGAGAGGGGTGAGAAGGTAGGTAGAATTGGAGGCTAAGATCCCACCAACAGTGTTTCAAGAAAACAAATAGTCCTGCCTGTAATTCCCAGTAGGGGGCGTGCAGGAGGCAGCTGATCAGTGATTCTCTTCAATCATTGATGTTTCTCTCTCTCCCTCTCCCTTCCTTTCTGAAATCAATAAAAAAAAAATTTTTTTTTTAAAAGAAGAAATAACATGGAGTGTATCTGGAGTTTGCTAATATCAGTTGGGGGATGGAATCTCTTTCATACAGTTATTCCTGCTTTCCATCCTCATTTGGGTGGATATTAAACATGTCACCAGCCACCAAGTTTGCCCAGGTGGCCTGTGTTGCTACTATACTGTATTCCTGCGTTGTTACTGCTTTGCATTTTTATGGTGCCTCATAATTTTTTAAAAAATACATTGTATTGATTTGGAGAGAGAGAG